AAATGAATAGTTATAAATGTTGAACAAATCTTTCAGGGAAGCAATTTTCAGCAGACACCAAAAGCCTCAAAAATGTATATGTCCTTTGAACCACAGTTTCATTTCTAGAATTATCAGAGATGAGAGCAAAGATTTTGTGTGTCTGTGTGTATGTGTGTGTGTGTGTGTGTGTGTGCATGCACACACATATGTAAATGCAAGAAGTAAAGTAAGACTTTTGGAAACATACTAAATGTCTGAAAGGGCAAAAGTTGAATACAGGAGTGTAATGCAGCCATTATAAATGGTATTTTCAAATAATTTTTTATGACATGGGAAAGTACCCACAATAGGATATAAAACTAAATATATGCAGTATATTCTCAACTATGTTTTAGAAAAGCATGTACAGAAAAAATTACTACAATAAAATATACTGTGAGTATAAATCATGGTTATCTCTTAAAAATTGAATATTACATGATTTTATTACCTTTTATAGCAACATATATTCTAAATTTTCTACAGTAAGTTTTTTTTTTAACTTATAAGAGCAGGATGCTTTGTTTTGTATCATGATCTTAAATTCATTACGCTACTGCACTGATGTCTTCTTCCATACATTTAGTACAGATCATGTCATTAATCTCAGTATAGGAAAATTCCCACGAGAGCCAGTTAAAACAATGAATAAGAGACCAGGCTCTAGAGCTGGACTTCCTGGTTTCGAAATGTAGCATTTAGTAGTCATTTGCTGCGTAATCCTTGGCACACATTAAACCTCTCGACATTTGCTGCTCCCATCTGTAAAAATGGAGTTGACGATACGCTCATCTCTTAAGGTGGTTGTGGGGAGCAAATTTAGCAAACACCTAGAAATAGTAACTGTTCAGGCAACTGTCATTTTTGTATTGGATTTATCAAGCTATTTAACTTCCAACATTTTTATAACTTACAGTTGTTTAAGACTAGTAACAACCTATTTTTTATAAACTCCCCCTTTACTTTTGCTATAGCAAAAATATTTCCTTTTTTGTGTTTTGTTATTGACTTAATTCATTAAATTTCTGACACAATCTCTAAAGGAGATAGTTAACTTTACTAGACACAGACTAAACCTTTTGTCATTTGGCATATTTAAAATTTCAGGACCTAGTTAGATCATTATATGTCCAACTCTCTGCTAAAGCATGGAAAAAAAAACATAAAAAGGGTGATATATACTTCCTGCTTTTAAGTCAACTCATATTTATTAAATGTCTACTGTGTGCTATGGATTGGAAGTACAGAAATGAGAAAGACACAGTTTCTGCCCTCAAGGAGCTTACAGTAGATATCCAGCAATTACATTCAAGAAAATAAATACACCATTTGAAATAGATGCAAGATAATATGTGTGTTGGGGACAGCAAGGTGTAGGATGGGCCAGATATGACAAGGTTTCCTAGGAAAAGGGGTCTGAAGTATATGTATTGAAGCACTTAGGAGTAAGTGGGAAGACTAACAGGAGAAACAGAGTTCCAGACAGGTAGCAGTAAGAACAAAGGCATATAGGTAAGTAAAGGAAACATGACCCGTTTCACATTTGTGAAAATTTAGGTAATTTGGCGAGGCATGGGGTTAGAGGATCTAGGTAGGAGAGAAAGTGGATGGGGTTCTAAGAGGTAAGCTGAGAGAGAGAAGCAGAGCACAAGTCTCAGTTTTATCTTGAAGTGGTGGGGAGATGGGAAATTTTTTTCCTTTTGGAAAGTTTACTGTAGAAATGTGGAAGACAGACCAATAAAGATGTAGAGACATAGACAAAAGGTTGTCACTATAACTCTGAGGATGAGAGGGACTGGATCAATGCAGAGATGATGAGGGTGGTAGAGAGTGGAGAGATGTGTAGCAGGTGATCCTTAGTTGTATGGGGTAAAAGGGAGGGAGGAATCTAGACTGGACTTCCAGACCTCTGAATTGAGAAGCTGGACAGATAGTGGGGTTAGTCACTGAGCAGGGACTCCAAAGGAAAAGCAGGTGTGAAAGGACAGATAATGTGGTCAGGTTTAGACAGACTGATTTCAAGATGACTTTGAGTCACTCAGTTTGAGTTGTCCAGTAAGAAAAAAATATGAGTGTTGAGCTCAACAGCAGAACCTAGCTAAAGATAAAAATTTGGTCATCGAAGCCATGAGCTGAGTAAAATTGTCCCAGGGAGAGTCTGGAGAGTGCATAAGATACAATGGCTAAGAATAGAACCCTGGAATTACAGAATTAGCAAGAAGATACCAGAGAGAAGAAAGTAAGCAAGAGGAGACCCAAGTCAAGAGGAGAAAATTCAAGATTTAGGGAATGGTCAACAGAGTGAAATGGGGACCTGGGGGAATTTATAATCTATCTGGGAAGTCATTGCATCTACAGATGAAGAAATGAGGTAGAAGAGTTGCCCGTGACTGTCGTTGATGAAGTGCCCAAGAAAGATACAGACAGTTGAGAGGAAGGAAAGAAGAGGATTGTCCTGAAGCTTGATAAAGGTGATAGGACTTCACTGGGCCTGAACTATGGGTAGAATTAAAACCAGGAGAGGTCATGTCACCTGAGACAATGAGATTTGTTCAAGTCCATCCACATGCCTGAGGATAACTAAAGGTGGGTTTTCTACTGGTAGTGGTCAGCAGTGTCATCTTTGAATAGTGAAGACAGCATTTAGCTCCCTCTTTTAGTTATAACATCTGGTTCTCTTTTAGTTATAATGACTGTTGGTTACATAGTATTGTATAAAACAGGGTACACTATTACCTGACATCCTGAATAAAGTTAAAGAAGTCATGACAAGAAAGCAGTATGGCTTATGCATAGCAGGTTCATTTCAGAAACGCAGCCATGAGGGCCAATGCCAGTGGGAAAAGACAAGTCTGGTTGTATGCCCTCTTAATTTTATGAAAGCTAATTCAAACATCTCTTTGTTTTAATGCCAGCTATTCCTAGCTGTGATGTTGCAGATTCCTTGCCCCATCTTTTCCTTGTGGGTACATGGAAGGAAGAAGGAACGGGGGACACTTTTCTTGTGCCCTCCACTTATTCCTCCCCACTTTCCAGTCCCCTCTCCATCTTCCCATTCCATCCCATTGGAATGGGATGAGAGCACTTGACTTGCAATGCAGCAACGGCAGTAACTCTTCCTTCACTAAGAGAAATGCCTTCAGGGCAGGAATAGGCAGACATTACCTTGGGAAATAACCTGTCAATCTATGCTAGTCTGCTCACAGTTCTAGCACAGTTATTGCTTCCCAGGACTGACACCAAATCTGCACAGAGGAAGGTACAGAATAAGGAAAAGTCACTGGAAAACCAGGTTCCAGGGCTAGCCATGTGACATCCCTAGTGATGTGATCTTGTGCAAGCCACTTAACCTCTACTAGTCTCAGGCTTCTCAGTAGAATTTTCATGGCAGTCAAATGAGATAATATTTGTGAAAGTGATTTATAATTGCAAAATGCTATCCAAATGATAGGCAGTGGCGATAGGCTGTTATAGTCATGAGTATGATGTGAAGGCAAAGGGCAAAGGGCAACCAAGATTTTTCCTCCTAAATCTGAAGACCTAGACCTTTCCATTCTAATGCTTGCATTCAATCAGGTTTCTCCAGAGCCTCACCTCCTCTGGTCCCCTGTTAATCTGTGCCTATTCATCTTGGCTCATTGTAGTGCTTGATGCAACTGAGTAATACTTAGTTAACCCCATTCTCCTTCCTTTAGTGCATAGTGGAAGCCCTTGAAATCCACCCCTAAAGAAAAATGTTAAACAATTTATGAAGTACTTCCTCTGGGCCAGGCCCTTTCTTTGCCGGAGATCCTTTTCCGCAAACCACAGACCATTCCACAGAGGAGAAATTAGGAAGCCTTTGCAGCTGAGACCAGAGGAAATTACATTTCTATTAAAAGCTGTCTGGCTAGATCTGTTTATCCCAGGTACAATGTTAAATGATGTAATAAACTTATTTAAAGACATAAAGCTATTACATAAAATGCCATTGACTATCTTCCACTCAGTGTTAACAAAATACAGCTATAAATTTTCTTTGGTTGTCAGTTTGCAAGTTGCTCATTCTCAGTGGGTTGTGCATCTACCAGTTCTTCACTGTTGAATTCTGTTTCCCAGTCCTGGCAAATAGGATGTTAGGGATGCATAACTCCTTGAAACGTGATGGTTTTCAAGTTTCTCAGTATCATGACTCTTGAATCTGGGAGTGCTCAGTTTCTTCTTGGGCCGGTTCACTGATGAAGTGCATTGCTGAGGCCCCGTATTTCACATACTAGAGATCAGAGGCAAGGAGGACCCAAACAGCCAAACCACAGCTCAGGATTCAAGTTGGGAGCTGACATATCTACTCTGGACTTTGAGGTTGAATCAGAGCTTCTTTCGTGGAGCCATACATTTAGGGACGAAGGGGTAAAATTGAAGGGAAGAGTTGAAGGAATACAGAGTATTATATCTTGAAAAGTTTTGTGTGCCCGGTTTTCCTGTGGTTAATCGCCTAAACCCCAGGTCAAGAGGAAATGCACCTAAGACCCAGATATGTCTCACTAAACTTACCTAATACTCTGAACGTGTCAGGAGTGCCATTTACCTTTGCAAGCCAAGTCCTGAATCTGGGTAGATCTGGTCCTTTTGAGCCTCTCCCAAGCAGAATGTCCCAAGAACGGAAATGAGTGGTGTCTTGGCAATGGAGTGTGAAAGAAGTTTTCAGTATTTGCCCAGGTCCTGCAGTCACCTCACTTTTAGGAAGAAGCGAGTCAGTCATACCTGATCAAAAGAAATGTGGCTTTGTTTCCTAGATCCCTGGGGCCTTCTATAGTGTGGCTTGCCTTGTTCTCATAGGGTGTGCCCCCCCCTGCCCCGCCCCGCCCGGCAGAGGTCTGCACTGTAGGTCCTTCTATAGTGTGGCTTGCCTTGTTCTCATAGGGTGCCCCCCACCCCGCGTGCCCGGCAGAGGTCTGCACTGTAGGATAGCTTCTGATGCTCTTGCTGTCCTTCTTCAGGAAACAGCATCCTTCATTCAGCGGCTGATAGTGTGACCAGCGCTGTACAGAAAGCAAGTCAGGCCTTGAATGAGCGTGGGGAGCGGTTAGGCCGAGCAGAGGAGAAGACAGAGGACCTGAAGAACAGCGCCCAGCAGTTTGCCGAAACTGCACACAAGGTGGGTCCAGCAGAAGAGCAGAGGTCTCAGCTCTGGGTCGTCAAGGAGCTTTTGTGCCAAGAAACTTTATTTCTGTATGTTTCCTGTGATGGCAGATACAAAATCAAGCCTTTTTCACCACCTCATACAATTTCCATCTGCGATTTATTAAGTACCAGAGTCACAAAAGATTCCCTCCTGTACCTGTTTCTTTGGGTATCTCCTTTCTGACATTTTCATTCCTGTGTCTAACCTTGGACTTGGGAAATGTGGGCCATCTTTAATACCTGCCCAGAAGTTTAGGACTCGGGTTTCAGGGAATAGTATGGGAGAGAGGGGAAGAGGTCAGGTCCCAGAATATCCCTCCTCCCTTGGCCAGTGCTTGAAAGAGCTTTGGGCTGCTCGTGCTTCCTTTTCCTTGCTGTCCCTTTCTGGTCGTGAGCTTAGCATCCTGTGTTCTTTTCACCATACAAAAAGCAAACACTGATCCCAGGGCACAGCGTACCTCAGAGCTGGTCTCCCTTCTGCAAAAGGCTGTGGACCTCTCAGGCTGACCGGACTAGTGCAGAGCTGCCTGCAAGGTTCCCACGTGACCATGACCATAGGTACACATATCCACATTCACACACTCCCTAAGAATGTGCCTTTCAGAAGGGGAAAGGGGAGTTTTTGTTGGCGCCCAGCTATCTAAGGCAGTCACAAACCAAAAGGAAGATGAGGCCCTGTTGGTCAGGTGATAGAGGGTTCACTGATGTTTCGTGCTTCAGATCAAAGGGCAGTTCTTCTCTGGCTAGTGATTCGCATTGAGGTTTCCAGAAACAACTTCCTCTGATAACTGCTGGCATCTCAGACTCATGATCTGGCCCTACAGATACACTTTTCCAGTGACCTTTGGGGGAAAAAATTAATTTGCTTCAACAGAAAACCCCACTTCCGCTGAGGAACCAAGAATGGACAACCTAAAAAATAACAAGAAAAATCTCCCCAACTGAGCCAAGCTTGCCTCTCCTTGAAGCTCAAGCTTGGGCCAGACCATGGATCCAATTCTGAGTGGATGCTTCCTGCCTTTCTTTCCTGCATGCCCTTTGCACAGACCTGTTTCAGTATCATCAGTTCTCTATCTCAGGACAGGGTCTTATTGCAGTGCTGTCTTGGGGGCCCTGTTTGGGGTTCCCTGGAGGAAAATTGGCCAGATTTGTCTGAAAATGCAGGCCGCCCTAGTAGAAACCTCAAGTGCCAGAGCTTCCCTCAGCTTGCCACGCTTTTGCAAAGGGAGAGAGAGAGCATCCCTTTGTCCGCTCCCCAGCTTTCATGATGTAGAAATGGTGGTGAGATGGAAATGCTGGGGTTCCAGCCTCAGTTTGATTTGTAACAATGGTAACTTTAGTGATTCAAATGCGGGGGTTGAAGTTGTGGACAGAGGAAGTCTGGGGAAACATTTATAAGTGTTGATTTGGGGAAGAGAAGGCTAAAGGGAATAATTTGTAATTGTCTTCAAGTCCAGGAAGGGTGATAGTACAGGCAATTCTCTTTTATGCCTCACCACACAGAGCAATCAATAGTGTACTGATAAAATTCTACTAAAACAAGAGTTTTGGTTAATGATTAAACCATGAGCCAAGTTACCAAGGAAGTCTGTGAAATCGCTCTTCCTAAGGTGGAGTAGACAATACCTGGAGGTCATCCATATGGGCGTCCCCCTCAGAGGAGCTTGTGCAAACACTGGACTGGACAACCTAACCAGATGGCCAGAATTCTTGGCCCCGGGAGCCCCATTTCCCAGATACTGTGGCCAAGTTTGCTAAGTGTTTGGGAGGGCGGTATGATACAGTAGTTAACATCTTGTGTTTGATTTACCATTTCAGTGACCTTGGGCAAGTGCTTCATTTCTCTAAGCCCCAGTTTTCTCATCAGTAAAATGAGGTTAATTAATAATAGTGCCTATCTTCTAGGGAACTGAGAGAATTGAATGAATTTAAACCTATAAATATATTAGCACAATACCTGGCAAATATAAGTCTAAATTAGTATTAGTTATAATTATGTCCATAAAAAACGATTTCTGCGGAACCTGCCCTATTCGGCTGCATAACGAGCACAGCAGTGGGGTGCGAGCGGGGAGTTGGAGAAATGTAATTGATCTTTGCAACACAGGAGTGGGAGGGATTGGAGAAGATACGCCCTCCAAAAAGGGGTGGGAATGCCTCCTGCTAAGTGCTGATGCTTTCTAAACACAGAGAGGCCCTTGAAACAAGATCCATCAGATCAGGAAAAGAGTAGGCCGCCAAAGGCAAAGGGGCCTCTGCTTTGACCAACAGGAAGATTGTTGCCAGCCAGTGACTTCCCCTCCTGTGTTCTGAGGGGGAGGGGAAGGGACTGCCAGTGTCTGTTAGTGCATTCGAGGGAGTGTGAGAGCCAGACTTGCTGGTGTGTGTGTGTGTGTGTGTGTGTTTGTGTATGTGTTTTAACTGGGATGTGTGCTTATGAATCACTGGCACTGGCAGTATTCCTAATGAGAAGATTGACCTCTTTAGATAAGGTGTGGCTATTTTTCCAGAGACTAGGACTTCCTGATTTGAACCTACTGGTATAGGCTGACCACGAAGATGTCATTTCACTGGCCAAGCCCCCACCAGGTCAGACTTGCTGGTGAGGAGACAGTTCAGAAATAGAAGCCAGGCCTTCCACCCCCCAGACAAATGTGGCTATGTTGACTCATAAAGAGTGGGCTGTATTTACAAGTTGAGACTCAGTGCACATTGTCAAAGCCCTGAGCAGAAGACAGCAATTGCAGGTGACAGTTCTTCCATATTTCCTGATTGAACAAGGGCACACAACTGCAGCTGGAGAGTATGGCCCACCTTTCTAGATTGCAGTAGAAAAGAATGTCCAGCTTTCTAACTTTCTCTAGGACTCCTGCAATGACCCAGGTATGTTAGTGAGTGGATCACCTTTGCACGACCCTGCCATCAAGATATGTGGGTGCTTGTCTCCTGTAAAGCAGATGGAAAATGTTCCTGCACCCCTTCTCCCCCAGCTCAGTTCAGCCTGGCTTAAGGAAGCATGGTTCCTTCCTGAGCTGTGGGCTTGGCACAGTCTCAGCCCTTAGGAAAATGCAACTCAGCCACAGAGCAGGCCCGCTCACTTTCCCCTGCCCCCAAAAAAACACAACGTTGCAGTGTGTGCAGCACTCTGACACCCGCCATGGGCGGTGAGTCAGCAAGCTCCAGCAGGACCCACACCTCGACATCCTCAGATGGCATTTTTCATGGAGAAGAATGGTGTATGCTCTGTTTTGCACAAGCCCACGTTTGTCGGGAAGGGGGCGGTGAGTGGCATTTCTCTGACTGACAGAGAATGGCTGCCTCTGTCCTTCCTCTGTGTGTTTTATTTAGGTCTCTGAGCCAGAAGGCACCTCAAGAGTCCAGGCTCTTAAAGAATCCCCCCAGTATGAATAATGATTTATCATTAATTATTATTGTCACTAGTATTATTTATATAGGAGTAGTTTACCCAGCTTGGAAAGAGAAAGCTTTCTACAGACATTAAGAAAACAAAATATGTCAAAAGGAAATTTTAAACTCCTCTTCTATAGAAATTGTGACTTCTAAATTGGTCTGTAAGCATTTGAGTTGGAGATGATATTTATAGACACGAGATACAGAGCAATTGTGACTTTAGAGCTCAAGGTCATTCGACGGATTTGTAACTGGGAAGCAACAGTACCCTGCCTTTCATATTCTAATGCTCTTGACAACCAGGGAATTTAAAAAATCAAAAAACCCTAGGTAGCATGAAAATGATTTCACTTTCTGTAAAAATACCTCAACTGTCCAATCCGGTTGCATTTCTGCGAAGCTGAGCTGGCCACACCCGGCCCGGCTGGGCCCCCTTCATGTGGAGTCCGACGCTGTAGGGTAACTAGGGCCTGATGTGAGCAGCAGCACTATCACTGCTGAGGATTCGTGACTGGGTGAATTGGCACGAGCTCATTAGTTGAAAGTTAACAGCTCAGTGGATAACAGGACCGCAGCACCGATCAAATATTTATGATTATTATTCATTATGTACAACTCTTAACAGCTCTGTGTTGATTCGAATGTTCCACGTTGCTAAATAATGTAGAAAAACTAGAGACAGAGAGCAAGAAGTGGAGCCACACAGCAGAGGGGCTCAGGGTGGCCGAGGAGTGGGACAGATCAGAGGGAGAGCCCTGGCCCTGCCATTTTTACCCACCATGTTTCCAGGACTATAAGCTCTTTGAGGTCAGCAGTTATTAGCCACCTGGCCATACTCAGGACTTCACAAACACTGTCTGACAGTTTACTGACTGTTGGAGTCAGCACCGCAGGCCTGTAGAGGTCCTCACTTAGGCTGTCCTCACTAGGCAGAGGCACCACGCTGAGGTTGCCCAAGCAGAGATTAGTGTAGCAACAGAAGGGCTAGACCCACCGTCCCCTCTCCATCACATGCTGATTCTGCCCAGGTGCACCAGCTGCAAGAGAAATGTCGGTGCTGCTTTTGCGTTGGCCTAGCCGAGGTGGCAACCTCCCTCCCAGTTGTAACTCCCTGTTGAAGACATCAAGAAGGAGAGGGGAGGCCTAGAGTTGCCCCAGGTTACACTGGAGAAGTGGATTATCAACATCTTCCAGCGTGATGCAGAGGACCACTGGGTGGAATCACAGTAATTCCCCTTGCTACTTCAAGGGCAGATAACCTGGTCATGACGCAGATGTCAGGGCTTTCTACAAAGTTATTGCCTGCAGAGAATCATCTGCTCCTTGCTCAAAAAACATTCTCAAATGTAGAATTCTGCCACCTACCTACCCACCCTCCCTCTAGCCGCAACCTCAGGGATTAATCCCTGATATCGCACTCTGGGCACGTGAGGAATTACAATTCAACCTCAGCCTCTGCCTTCTGATCCACATCAGTGTGTGGGCTCCACGGAAAGGATCTGACTAAGGAGAGCAATGTCAGATGTTTATGTTCTGTACCTGCATACATTGCCTTAAATATATCATCGGGGCTCCAGTTGGGCCTGGGAAGCTGTTGAATGATACAGTGATAGTTGTTGTTTCCATTTATAAACCACATTTCTCAAATACCAGTGGGAGGAGAAGTAAACCAAGGTCTGGACTTGGTCCGTTGTTCAGCCCTGGTCAGGAACACGGTTTAATCAAGTGTTTTGGACTTGGGCAAATGTCCAGGCTGGATATTGAGTGGATTATTGAAGATGGTTTCTCTACAGTTATTGGTTTTTAATACTTTACGGGATGTCAGGAAATACATACATTCGAGGAGTGTTGGGTTTCCTAGATGACTAGTAACCTGGGAGCCCAGAGGCCTTTGCTCTTCTATCCCCACCTGTCCCCTAGGGTCGGTCATTCATTTTGCCTGTGTGTTGGCTTTTCCATTTGTTCCTTCCTTCAGTGGGATGAAGGAACACCACCATGCAGCACTCTTCCCCACTTGGATACAGACACTAACAAAAACACTGTAAGGAGTAACAAACGTGGCACTCCATGGAAGATTTGGGGGGAAATTGCATGGTTACTGGATGCCACTGTGATCCACCCCAGCAAGCAGAATCTTGGTGCCGCTTCTCATCGTGGACGTGGGGAAGGAGCAGCCCAGTGAATTCTCTCTCCCCTCTGCTAATAACGTCTCCCTCTTCTCATGCCTCTTTCTCCTTAGCTTGCCATGAAGCACAAATGTTGAGGAACTGCCTATCCTGGTGACCCTCTTAAGAGAAATGGAAGAGTTTGTTCAGCAGTTTTTCCAAGAATTCTGGACCTCCACTTGCTTCTTTTATCCAATATATGGACATTTAGATTTTTTGTTTTTCCTTTTCAGATGTTAATATAAAAAAAAGATGTTGTATTTAGACATTTCCCTAATGATCCTGCTAAGAGTGCTGCAATAGCAATGGCTTCATTTTGTTTTGTCTTTTCTCACCGTGTGAATGTGTATGTTTTCATATGTTTTCCCTTTTCTTAAGATTTTTTGGGGGTGGGGGTAGTTTGAATATGAAATTCGGACCAAATGTTATACTGAGTTGGGTCTAAACTGTCATCATGAATTTTTTTTCTTGATATTAAGCGGGAAGACATTTTAATATGGTGACATCATATGTTATTGTCCCTGGTTGGAAATAAAAGTCAAGCAGTGATTGATTGGTTTCACTCAGCCTCCTGGCTACTCTTAATTTGAAGGTTAAGATTCTGTATCCTGAGACATAAATCTATATTATGGAAAACAATTGGGTTTATCAGGGGAAACAGCAGTCTTAGATTTTGCTTTTTATATAGTAATCTTTTGCATGAGCCATCATCAGCATTCAAAAAAAACAAATCAGAATCACAGATAGAAATCTCTTTTCTGAGCTACAGTTTAAATATTTTCACTACCTGTTTCCAGGCTGATTATTTGGAATTATCATATGAAGATTTAAAATTTGAGATTAAAGACCTAAGGAAAAGCCTATTTAAAAACCTGTACACTCATGGCTGTTTATTTCTTTTGTCATTGTCCCAAATTCCAGTAGCTGGTATTGAAAAGAGCTTGGATTTTCATCAAGAATTGATTTGTCCAGATAAAGGTCTGTGTAGATGATAATGTGAAAAGATACTACATTTAAAATCTTTCTTCTTTTTCTTTTTTACAAAGTCATGTCTATTTTAGACATAACGTCCTTGGGAAATGGCTTTTAGTTTCTTGGTATCTGATTTTTGGAACTTTTGATGTTGTTATTGATATCTATTTATTTAATGTAATTTAAAGTGTGGGTTTCTTGACAAATTGTAGTTCATGGCAATTGAAGCTTGCCCAGCCTGACATAAAATAGTATACTCTTGAAGCCTTTACACTGTAGTCAGATTGAAAAACATTGGTTTACACACCCAATTTTGTATTACTCACAGTAGTCTTGGGTTTAAAGTCTAGGAGTTTGTTTCTTAGAAGATTAAAATGGTAGACATAAGAGCTATGCTTTTGTATTCTTGAAACAGAAGGCAAGCTGCACACCCAGGCACATTGCCAGCCTCCCACTATAGCGCCTTGATTCTTAAGCTGCTTGAATCTTCAGGATCCTTTCTGTCCCTTCCTACTCATTGAGCCAATTGAGTCTACATGTATTATAGCCTCTTACATAGCAGTGTAAAATGACTTTGGGATTATTTATGCTCATTTAAATAGCTTAAATTCTCCTGATAAAGTGGTTCCCAGGGAGATAGGAAGTTGGGCTATTGGGGAAAAAAATTATCTTAGGCACTACATATCAAAAGGGTATGGGATTTGCTGGAGACAAATTTCTGAATCCTCTTAGGGAGATGATCCAATTCAAGAGAACTCTGTAAAATTTATTGGAAAACTATATAAGTTTACTATATTATTTTGTACTTTTCTTTTGGTGCCCAAAAAGTTTAAAGAAAAAAAAAAACTTGTTATCTGGTGAGTGCCATTACAGGCATTTATAATTTCTAAGGAAAGCCCAAAATATCATTCCAAATAGGTTTTGTTTGCAGACCTCAATTCAGAAAACAGAGAGAGAGGGAGAGAAGGAGGGAGGGAGGGAGGGAGGGGAAAGAAGAAGGGAGGGAGAGACAGACAGATTGAGATTCATCTTCCCAAATTGGATTCTAGCTTCAGAGATAGTTGATATAAATAATTGAAAAGGTAAATCAAAAACCCCTGACAATAGGCCAAACTCAAAAATACAATTTATTGCCAACTATCTCACATTAGTGTTTGCAGAGCTGCTTCTAGAGTAGCAGAGGATGAGGTCATAAGCATACTAATACTATGAAATTTGAGTTTCTTCCTCCCCGGTCGAATTATGGTAGTTACTCTTCGTAAATATAAGTATTCCACATCTTGCCTGCTTTCCTCACTCTCTGTTTATCCTTTTAGACTTGTCTTATTGGAAATAGGCTGGATTAGAAGAAAGCATATCTGAATATTTATTAGCTTCTTCTATTAATTTACTTTCAGGCTGTGGTCATGCCCCTGACCTCCCAGTGTCAGTCCTACGTAGGCCTCCACCCCACAGAGAGGCCAGAACAGCAATCCCTGTACCCTCCTAGACTTCCTGACCTCTTGCACAGGAGCCCTGTGATGACACCTGAAGTTCTTTGCAGCACCCTTTGTAGAAGGTGCTGCAATACAAAATATTGATACAATCTAACCTAGAGAAAATTGCTAAAATGACTCACATTTTTTAGGACCAATCCATTTGGTTTAGCTTTGCTAGAAGACATTTAATTTCCATTCCTTTTATTTCTGCACTTCACTATGGGTTTTCAGGATACTATATTTCTGTGGAGAACTCCTTAAATTGTATTGACAATGCATAAAGAAAAGAAATTTCCCAGTGTTATCACTTCCTGGAACGTAGTTGTAGTATTCTTCACTAGTATTATTAGATTTCTGTGTACAGGAAGTATACAGTTATTCAGGTTAATGTTTCATATTAAAGAATGTATTTGTAAAATGTAACAAGATCAGTAGTTAACTTTTTTTAAGCTCTGAAAAAATTAAGTTGATGTGTTAGACTTCAAATTACAGTGAAATCTGTTTTAATACTACTTTTGTGGCTAGCAAAGGTTGTGCATTTATGTAAAAATATTTACAGAATGCCCTAAATATGGCATATTAAAGATAGATTTCTCTTTTAATTTTTAGAATTGTGACACTGCTGATGTCTGTTGTACAGTTATTCTTCAGAAGCTCTCAAAGGTGTCAAATAATTTTTGTTTCTTTCAGAGACAAGTAACACCTGCTCATGATTCAGTATAACAGCAAACTAATTTTGTCATTAAATATTTTAACTCTGTGATGAAAGTTTGTTTCTCAGTTTCTTATGAAATGTATAAAACACCAAATAGGTAGGCATCGTTGCACTTTTGTTGCTAATGGGAAGATCTTGTGTGCTTTCAGGAGACCAAGAATTAGGATTAGCATTATAATAAAGTTGGGTAGCATTATGATAATGAGATTCTATCCAGCAAGAGTTAAATTTTTTCTTCGCCTGGGTGAAGCAGTTAAGCCAATTAATAGTTTACCTTTCTGCCGATGTTAGTGAAGTGCTCAACTCGAGTACTTATAAAAGCATCCACCCTTATCCCTCACTTTTATAAGGCTAGTTTCTGTTAAATTGGAAAGAAGACTTGATCAAATTATGTTGATTTATTTTTATTAAAAACAAATGCAACTTATTGCACCACTCCATCTGTTTTCAAGGGAACTAACTTAGGTGGCTACTATAGCATAATAGCCATCTCTGTGTTGGCATGGACACTGAACCAGGCAGGACTTTGAAATATTCCTGGGAGGACTGCAGGTGGAAGGCAAGACCGCAGTCTACTTTTCAGAGACAAAATGTATAGAGAGATGATTTGGTTAGATGAGGACCAGCCTTAAGTTAACTATGTATTTAAAGGCATCAGTTCTTGTGAACTAATTATAAACCAATTGCCTTACAAAGATGATCTTTTTCTTAATATAATTTTTATTAGCAATTACACCACAACCAACTCTCAATTTTTATGGGTGGATTAACATGATAAGTGTTTTGAGAAAAATCAATGATGCCTTTTCCACTTGTTGTCAATGAGAACATGCTTAAGAAAACTATTGACATTATAATCATCATCTGCCTAAACAAGCAGATTAAGGTGAGGGTGGTATAGAAAGAAGAAGTGGAGAGGGCCAGGGGTAGGGGTGGAGGGGTAAATACCAAAAATAAATTCCGAACAGAATTGCAAATATTTGAGTGTTATTGTTATCGAACCGCAATATTTTAGTCCATCCACCTGCACACGCTGGCAGAAAGAAATGCACAAGTAGGAATTTGCAGTGAAGAAAAGAAGTCGTTTATTATAAAATTAGTTAATCAAGAATATGGGCAAACTCATGCTCTGAAAGACCCAAGTCCCTCCACAGTGGTGTGTGGGTTACAGATTATATAGGGTAAAATCATAAGATTTGTGGGTTAGGGTTTGGGATCCTCCTAGGAGCTAATTGGTCGGAAGTGATGTAAGGGTAATAAATTATTTCTTCAGGCCTTGAGGACAGTTCTGAGGTCAGATATGGTGTCCCTCTGTCTGGTTTCAAGAGGGTCATTCCACCTTAGGGCTCAGGAGCTGAAACATAAGAGATCTAGAGAAAGAGAGAGAGGGAGAGAAGAAAATAAATGATTTCTAAAGTTCTAGTCACAAATCAAAATCATGAAGACCCTCAGTTTCATTATTCCCTGTTGATATTGTTCTCTGTGCATCTTCACCTGCCATGGGCAAGCCTAGGTGGTATCTTCACATATGGACATTCACATGCAAATGCACATAGCTGGCATCAAGAAAAGGGCTGAGCTATGCCCTTGGATGCCCCATGAGTCACTTTGTGACATCTTCTTGCCCTTCTAGACACGGTTAGGCAGGTGACAGTATTTCCAGGGGTCAGTGAGACTAGAAAATGCCTCATGTGGGCCATTTTCAGAGCATGAGAAATATAAAGACTTGAGACATGAGAAATTGCTGGTTCAAAGCTCCTGAAGCTTTTAGAATTTCCTAAGTGTTGAGAGTGGGAAAGTTGTCTCTTATGTTAGCGAGCTGACTTTTGGAAAGCACCTAAGGATGGGGCTCCGGTTGCCAGTGGAACCAACCACATGATTAGAGGATTAGTTCAGCCCCAGCACCTGCACACCTCTGGGGAGGGGAGAGGGGATGGAGGTTGAATCAATTGCCGAAGGCCAATGATTAATCAATCATGACCATGTAACAAAGCATCCACAAAACCAATGAGGATGAGGTGAGTTCTGTGAGTCTTTCTAGTAAATTAATCAAACCCAAGGAGTGGGTTATGGGAACCTCTGATTTGGAGCCAGCTAGTCAGAAATATAAGTGTCAACTTAGATTTGTGATTGGTATTCTGAGTTGAAGGGGTTTATTGAAACCTTCGGTCAAAAGCACAGGTAATCTGGTCTTGCTTCTGGCATCTGAAATATGGGGCGGAATTGGGGGTCGTGGGGGGGCGGGGACGGTCAGTCTTGTAGGACTGAACCTTTAACCTGTGGAATCTGAGGCTATATCTCCAGTGGATAGTGTCAGAGTTGAGTTGAATTCTCTGACACCCTGCTAGTGTCTGAGCATTGTTCGTAGGTGTCGGGGACCCCTCTGCCATACTGGAATAGGGTCAAGGAACCCAATTTACCCACCTACAAGGAAAGTCTCACTTTATTTCTCTAAATGTGAATGTGCTAACGGTCCTCTTTTAAGATGATGTTGCAAAAGATGGATTTTCTTTGGGTTTGCTTTTCGAAAATCCAGAAATTTCACAGAAAAAGATTTTGTATAGCCAAAGCCAGCCTGACACAAAATCGAACTTCATTTATACCTCCCACCCCCAACCTTTTGAGAGGTCACCTTTCTCCCTTCTGTGCCCTTTTGTTTTCTGCCTCTTCTGAAATCCTACTTTAGTTACCCTTCTAAGGTGTTACCTACACATAAAGCACAGCTCTATAGCAGCTTATGGCAGTTCCTCCATCCTGGCTGCTGTCTGTCACTTGAGAAGCTTTTCGAAATCCACACATTTTATTCCCAAATTTGCCTTTTTGGTATCTCTGATCATCTTGTGTTTTGCAAAGAAAAAAATAACTCAACAGGCCACGGGTGGTGGGGCATCTGGTTTCCCTAGATGCTTACTAGATTTAAACCAGCAAATCGAAGCTGTCAAGGAAATTAAATACGTGCATTTAAACTCAACGACTGCTATAATGTAACCTTCTGCCTTGACCCCCATTATATTTTCTCCCTTGAGCTTCATCTGGAGCCTCAGGATTTCCTGAGTCATAATTTCACTTCCCACCCACCTCCCACCCCTGAAGTTTTCTGCCACATTTTCTTCTTTCTGCTGATGAGTCATGGTCCTGGGCATCACAGGTCTTCAGGGGGTGGGTCTGCTTGGGTGGTCCATCCCACTGGACACTGGTGGATGCAGGCTGGTAGGCAAAACTGCCTTGCCTCCCCAGTCCCCCAGGAACCAGTGGCCAGACCTAAGAGATTTGAGTCAGCTGCTGAGGTGTGTGGTCACTGTTCTCACATTGTGTCTGATAGACATTTTGGATCCTATTGATTCTCTCTGATGGAGTGAAGTTTTTTTTTAATAGAACATATATTTTTTCTTGTTTTCATGTGCTCAATCAGCTCAAGGATGGCTGTTTAAATGGGGCCTGGCCTCATCACACATTCATACTTAGATGTGTCAGAGGCTGGACAAGAATCGCCAGTCCTGTGAGTCCCAGGAGTCACTTGTCAACATTAGATATGAGCCCTTGTCCTATGACATTGTATCGAAAGATGACATGGAAAGAAGAAAAGCAAGCCTGTTGAATTCTCAGTTTTACCCTGAGACCTGAAACATAACTAGGATGATGCACAATTTCTGAAGAAAATTCCTATTACATGCTCAGACCATATGCGCCAAATACTCTAATTAAAATACATCCTCGGCGACTGAAGCCTGAAACTTTCTGTTACTTTTCCTTAAAACCGATCCTTTCTTTTACTGCCCCAGGAAGAAAAAATCGGTTCCAACTATTGAACACACTTTTTTATTCATAGTACGGTGGCTTCCTTTGGGGAGTTTTGCTCTTTTAGACCTGGAATTACAGTGACTGATACTGATGGACATGTTTACATCGGTCTGAAATTCTCCGATATTGAAGGAGCCTCGGCATTTGGACAGGAAGAAACTGTGAAGAAAAAAAAAAGAGCATGTGAACTGTGCTCCACCCCAGCCCTAGGAGGAAAAATAAAACACAACACCTTTAACTGGAGTGAGCATGAGCAGGGTGCCCTCTGGTGTGGTTTACTGGAGGCAGCATTGCATTATGGTTAATCAGAGTAGTCCAAGGAGTGCCTGCCCTGCTTTGAATTCCAGCTCCAGTATTACTGGGCGGGTGGCCTCCAGCAAGTTACTGACTCTCTGTGCCTGTTTTCTTAGCTTTAAAATGGGAGTGGTTATCTACTTAATAGGTTATTGTAAGGATTAAATGAAATAACGAATGTGAAGCCTTCAGCCTTGTGCCTGGCACATGAAGGCTCCATGTGTGTCAGCTCTGCAGTGGGCTACTTCTTGTTATGGATCTGAAATAAAGTAGTAAACCTGACAGGCTTGCGATGCCTGCAAGACATTATCCTTGGGCAGACATTATCCAGGCCTCTTCGGGCATTTTTATGGCCCAGGGACATAAATCCTTGGACATTTCATATATCCCAGCTCTGGGATAAAGGAGAGGTTCCTGGCCTAAAGGCTCTCAGTTGTGGCCATTTTCTGGAGGAAATTTCCAAAAAGACTAACTCCACAAGAGAGAAGAGTGAAAAGATGTGTTCTTTGGGCAATAATTCATGCCCCTCTTTTAAAAAATTCAAGGTTGGTCTACAGATGTATTAGTGTGATTCCAAGGGTACTGCTACTCAAACCATTCCTAGATAACTTAAAATGGGACTAACTTAAAGAGAACCATTTACTCCACAAAATGAACCTGGGCCTAAAGTAAAAATACCCCTAAGACAAAAAACAAAGTAATTAAGACCCACCAAAGTGTGAATCGATGATAGTACACTTTCCTGGAGCATCTTTAGGCATTTAGCTAAAAGATGAAAAGAAGACCCCAGAAAAACAATGCTGTCAGCATACTGTTTTCCCTTCATTGTCATGGTGCTATTATTTATGATGTCCAAGTAAACTCAACATTATTTGGGAAATAGCTCATTTGTAAAGAACTGTCCGGGCAAAAAGGGCCTGGCTAGTTATAATAGTGAACCTGTTCCACGCAAAACCCC